TTTAGGCGCTGTCACAACACTTATAAACCCAACTGTAGCTTGAACATTTGTTAATAACCTATCCCTTATCGGACATATATGCTCACTATTGAAGTACCTTATTTTGAATAAATCCGATTTCTTCCTAACAGATGCACTGAATCTCCAACATCAGTCATCCGATAAACACAATAATTTGTAGCTGCATTTTTTCAGATACATCAATAGAATGCATACTTCTATCAGCTTTACTACAATAATGTATCATCATTATTATACACATATATAATATCAAACATTAACAAACAGTATAGTAATATGTATCAGTTACTCTATGATATATCAAAATATATATGTCACACATTTACTGTATCATAATTTTATCCAATAATGTTTCCTTACTGTTTCAACAAATTTCAATGATACATTAATCAGAACAAACATATATTGATACATTATCATATGAAATAAACTAGACACAGTTATTGTATCATAATTTTATCCAGTAATGTTTCCTTACTGTTTCAACAAATTTCAACGAAACATTAATCAGAACAATCATATATTGATACATTATCATATGAAATAAACTAGACACAGTTATTGTATCATAATTTTATCCAGTAATGTTTCCTTACTGTTTCAACAAATTTTCAAATGATACATTAATCAGAACAAACATATATTGATACATTATCATATGAAATAAACTAGACACAGTTATTGTATCATAATTTTATCCAGTAATGTTTCCTTACTGTTTCAACAAATTTCAACGAAACATTAATCAGAACAATCATATATTGATACATTAACACATGAAATAAACTAGACACAGTTATTATATCATAATTTTAGCCTGTAACTAAACTAGACACAGTTATTGTATCATAATTTTAGCCTGTAATGTTTCTGTACTGTTTCAACAAATTTCAACGATACATTAATCAGAACAATCATATATTGATACATTAACACATGAAATAAACTAGACACAGTTATTGTATCATAATTTTAGCCTGTAATGTTTCTGTACTGTTTCAACAAATTTCAACGATACATTAATCAGAACAATCATATATTGATACATTAACACATGAAATAAACTAGACACAGTTATTGTATCATAATTTTAGCCTGTAATGTTTCTGTACTGTTTCAACAAATTTCAACGATACATTAATCAGAACAATCATATATTGATACATTAACACATGAAATAAACTAGACACAGTTATTGTATCATAATTTTAGCCTATAATGTTTATGTACTGTTTCAACAAATTTCAACGATACAATAATCAGAACAATCATATATTGATACATTAACACATGAAATATACTAGACAAAGTTCCATACCTCCAGTTATCAAATCTCTTTACTCTGAAATTAAAGCCATGTTTTATTTTGTATTTTGCCATTACAGATATCAGAGTGGCTTTATCTTTGTACAATTGATCCACTTTCACGTCTGTACTTTTGTATCAGATATGTAATTCGTCACCTCTAACTCTGGTATATAACACAAATCACCATTTTTTTATTCTACCAAGTTGAGAGCGAGTGTATCCTGTTCAGCACCTTCAACACAGACGATTGAACCAATCAACACATCAAAATTTTCAATATCGACAACATCCTTATCAATTATATCAATACAGAGGGGATACATTCCAAATCCGATCTCGCGTTTCTTCACCTCTACGTACAATCGTACTCCCATATCAGTCCTTATATTCATTGGAGAGGAGTTTTCTTCTACAATGTATCGTATATTAATATTTTTTCTCAACTCATCAATATTCAACTCAGCCGCAATTGTTGAAACTAGGTTCATGAAGGAAACATCTTCACCAACCAATATCCCATCACTCTTGTATCTTTCATAATTAATCTCACTCTCCCAAACTCCAAAATGTCTCAACAAAATTGATATATTCATTACCTATCTGATTAAACTCACTTCAACAAAATTGATTCTCAGTCGAAGTCCTCTTCGTTGAAGTAGAGAAGAAGATGAACGCAATTTGAATCTTTCAATTCTGAATTGATTTGTTGAAATAGAGCAGAAGATGAACACTATTTGAATCTTTTCAATTCTGATTTGATTTGTTATTTTTGGGAATCACTTTACGAAAACTGATTTGGCGTGATTTATGGGATTCAATTTTTTATTTTCCGTTTTTATTTTCCATTAAAAGTGCAACAAAAAAATATCCAACCTTTAATTAATAATGTATCCGCACCATATATTTAATGTATCAGTGCTGAATTATTGTATCCGTGTTTTAAATTTTTAAGGGATTTCAGTCATTTAAACTTATAAGGGACAAATGGTCATTTTGGCTTTAAAGTATGTGATTTATGTCCTTTGCTCTTTTAAAATATCGCAGTACAAATAATAAATATATAAATATAATAAAGACAAATTCTAAATAATATGATGAAAGGTAAGATTCTCTCAAGTTGAAAAGAGGATATAGGTGTTTCACTTGAAAAAAAACTCCTAATTCAAACGTATCGAAAATAAAAATTCTAACAAATTCTAAATTTTCCACCATAACCAAAACAAATCATTATGGTAAGATAAGTTGTTGTATCAAAAATAGAAATTACGTCTAGACACTTTTCCATCTTTCTTTATATTTATGATGTAAAAATCTTCAAGTTATCGCACAAAGAATTTGATTTCACTAAAGCAAGTACTCATAGATCAACATTGATGGATAATCATAAAATAAACACATTAAAAATTTAACAGAAAGTTTCAATGAGAATATTTCAATTGTGATATGAAAAAAAATTATAGGATTTATCGACGTAAGTTTTATCTCCTTGTTCATATCAAATGCAGGATAAATCTTTTATATGACTAATAATGTTTGTATTTTTCTATACTTTTTCTTTAAAATAAAGAAAGAGCTACTTATATATCAAAGATATGAAAAGTATCATTATTATCTTTTTAATTAAGAGATAATGAAAGATTCATCAATTGAGTCACAACAAGTTACGTTATATCGGGTAAAAAAAAATGGGATGCAAATATTCAAAAATTTCCAAAAGGACGAAAATATTTTTTTTATACATATTAAAAGGGAAAATATGTAAGAAAAATAAATTTTATAATTTTTATTTATATAACTATCATATAATCAATTTTTACCTACCTCAATTAATTTTACGAAATATCTGCACTTAGTAATTAGATTAATAAGAAGTTGGTTTAACTTACATTTAAGCTTTTGCTCTTGCCTTATTTTATTTATTGGCAAGCTGAACTTTTCAGGCCAGCTGTTCAAGGCACTCCCAAATGGAAAAAAACAACATATTTTTATAACTTTTATCTCCGGTCTTTTTTGTCAAGATTTTAATAATTCCTTAAAGAAATTATGAAACCAAACAAATCAGGTAGGCTAAAGCAGAAGAATCAATATGTATCCATCCACACATGTATAACCATTAGCAAAAGTTAGTACTATTTTATTAAATTTAATTTGTCTTTGTTATTCCACTTTTGGTGCTTCTGATGTTATTGGAGCATAGTTAGCCAATCTTAGATGGGAATAAAATGAGAAAAAAAGAAAAATAATTATTTTGCTGGAAAAGCTGTATATAGTTCTGATAATAGCAAATGCAACATCACTTTTGATTTTTTTAAAGCTTCTAGAAGAATGAAGAATCACCATATCTTAATTAAAAAAAAGATATGGTATAGTCACCAAATAATGAAAAACTACATATTAACTAACCATTAAAATAGTAGTATTATAAATTGACATAGTCATCTGCCGCATATATACTGCTAAGTGCTAACCTCATATATATATCCATTATCTAGCAGCACATTGTTTGGATGGTTGTTAATTGTTATCCATTGTATTTTATCAACGTTAGTTTAAACATAATTTTTATTTTAATTAATGTTATTTAAATTTTATTATATTGTATCGTTTAAATTTATTGTTAGATAATGATGAAAAAAATATTTTGTATAATAATTGATTTGGTGTGTATGCATCGTTGCTTTAATATGTTTTTCTTATTTTATCTTTACTATTATTTAATAATCCTAATTTTATCCTTTGCCTTATCTTTTTCTATAATAACCCTGTTTTCGTAGCATAATTTTCTTGTAGGTTTAACATTCAAATTGTAGATGTGTGACATTACGTAACTACGGAAAACAATACAATCTATCCAAACGTCATATTCATTAAAACAATACAATACGATATATATAACACAATACAATATAATACGATATATTATAAATCAATACTTAACAATCATATCGGATTTAGGATTTGAATATTATGAATTTTTTAGTTCAAAATTAATTTACCATACGTTCGATATTACGCCTTCCATCACAATTGTTGTAGTGTTGTTTCAATTTCAAGAGTAAAACAGATTTTTTTATATGTTTTTTGAAATATTTTAAATTATTAATTATTGAATATATATAAATATTATGTAGTTTTCAAATATGCAGATTTTATTTAAAATGATATATAGATCTTATAAAAAAATTAACTCCCAAAAATTATATAAATTAAGCCGGAATAAATATTTATACTTATCAAGTAGATTTTTAATATATAGCCATATAAAATCTAAGTCAAAATTACTTACTTCAGATGAACCATAATATAAATTAATTTAAGCCAGAAAAGCCTAACTACAACACATCATATATTACTAATATATATATAGTAGTATCATGGAAAAACCATGGATACTAATTAAAGCATTATAAAATGCACAATCCCATAGTTTATTTAGGATCATCCACTGACCAATGGATTTTAAATGAAACTACCTACCAAACTAAAATATTTTAATAACTAAAACTGTGTTAAAAGTCAGATGAAGAGAAATAATTATAAATTGAAATTTGGTGAAATGTAAAAAGTAATGTAGTTTAAATGTAGCTTTCACGTGTGGAAGTTTTTTGCTTAGAAGATTCTTTATATTATATTTTCCTTAGTATTTACAGCTAAGACTATCCTATCCAATAAATCACACCTTACTATATATATTCCCCTTTCCAAAAAGTCTCCTCCATTACTCAAAAAAAAAACTTTGCAAAAAAAAAAAGAATTAAAATGGAGGGGTTGATACCATTTGTTTACAAAGCAATAGTTGAGTACAAAAATGGAAGGGGAACATGGATGTCTGAATCTCCTTCGACTTCTTATATGAAACTTCCAGGCGATTCAGGACGTTATGAAACGTCCGATTTACAATTTTTTGGTCATGTTGATACTATGTTTTCGACTACTTCATCATCGTCACCTTCTGCGAGTACTGTCACCAAAAGAATAGTGTCAAATGGAGTTCAGTCGCCCGCGGCTAGGTGTCATCGGATTTCTTCTCGTGCTATGAAGTGATTCGATGATCTTGAAGTTGAAGTTGAAGTTGAAGTTTAAAAAATAATAACTTTTGCTAAAGGAAAATCAATAGCAAAAAGGATCGTCAGACTTGTTTGGGATTGAGGGCGTAATTGTTGTTACTTTTCACGTGTGATATATAAGCTTCTTCTTTTCTACTACTAGTATTTTTATTTTCTTTTGTTTGTTGGTTTTTAGTTTGGTGTAAGTTTGAGGATTAACCAAAGGGACTTCAGACTTTTACTTACTTTGATGGTTTCTTGTTTGAGGATAACCAAAGGCAACTCAAACTTTTGCTTTTCTCTGTGTAAAAATTTGAAGGTGGTCACATTATTTTGTGTATGTATATTATGCAGGATATATTGTCATAATTAGTACTGTTTATTTTATTTTTGTCATATTGTTGATTCAATAAAATGTCTTTTATAAGATAATGATGAACCATAATAGTCCAAAAAAAATAAAAATAGAGGAAACGCAAGAAGCTTCTACTTCTGACTTTAACAAGTGAATAAACTCATGATTAATTTCAAAATAGGAGTAGTGTCTATCCGCGTCTTTGAGAAATTATTATTATTAGGAAGAATATTTGACTATTTAGTTTTATTTATCTTTATATGATATAATAATATTGAATCTTGAATATATGCAATAAATCTATAATTATTTGACTATTTATAAAATTTGCTCATCTAGCTAGGTTTTTAAATCTAGAAAGAAAGAAAAAGAGAAATTGAAACAGATTCAGCAGAAGAATCCAATATAAAAAAATATTATGGCCCATGCAGGTCTCGAACCTGCGACCTTCGCGTTATTAGCACGACGCTCTAACCAACTGAGCTAATGGGCCATGTTGTCTCAAGAGTCTCGTATTATACACAAAACATGAGAAATTATTGAAAGCTATAAAAACATACAAGTCAGGTTAGTAAAGGAAGATTTCATTATTTGAGAACAATAACCAGATAATATGAATTGGATTCAGTCCACTTATAAGATTCATTGTTGTAATGACAGAAGGGAAGCTCTTTTGAACTTTCTCAACTGACATAATTATGTAGTGGTCGGTCCTATAAAGTTCGATAAGCCTCACTAGTTTCTCTCCACTTATTAAGTGAAAAATAGTCATTGACAAAACGCAATCATAAATATTTTATATATCATTTTCTGATTACTTCATAAAAGTCACATCGACATTAGGTGCACAACTGAAGCATGTAAGTTATATGCATTTGTACAACTTCAAATGGCACCCCATAGTTAAGCAACAGCTAGATATTCAAAATTTGATTTCAAAACTGCAGTAGATTAGAGTACAAAAAAGAGGTTACAATTTACACTTGAATCAAAATTGAACTTGATGAGCACAACAGGGAACAGCCAAACTCCATCAGTGCAGAAGAAACTCATGTGGACTGGTAAGGGAGTTTGTGGTAATTAGAATTTAGATGTGATCGGCCATTTCATAAGTAGCAATATTCTCAGCAGAGAGACGTGCTCACATCATTAGATGGTGGCTAGAATCCAAAACATCACGTGAGAAGAAATGGCGATAAGAAACCAGGTTAAGAATGCCAACACCACAGAGAGCTCAAATCGACCACATGGAAGATGAGGTGGTGTACTGCACAAGTTTAAATCTTTTGAATATAAAACAGCAATCCCTGCTGATGAGCACGCACCTGCCAGTGACAAGGTTGCAGTCACCTGTAATTAAAGTCAAGCCAGTGAACAGTCGAAATTCAGACAAGACAATAATCTGGCGTTCAACAGTACGACAAATCAAGAAATGTAAAGACTTTATTTATGGCAAGGGGATACAGCATAGTTACACACATTTAAATGATTAAGATTCCTGTGACAATAGATATGCATTCTGAAAAGGAAAAAAAAAAGTTCGAAAATATTGTTGATAGGACAAGATTATAGTCAGAGAAGGCATAAAGGGAGGATTTCCTTCTGCAGGAGTGAGCGGCACAAACAGTAAGACCAAGCTTCCGTTGTCAAATCATGTAGAATAAGGGGATCTTAAGCCAGGGAGGAAAAAGCATTTGAGCAGTGGAACATTAGTGCCCTGTATAGAGCAGAACTAATGGCAGAAGATTGTTTGTCACAGTTAAGGTGAATTTCCAGTGGTATTTATGAGGTCTATCAAAGCGTAGTGTTTGTACAGGCCTTAACGGCAGGAAAGAACAGTTTACAGTATCCAAAACATTCTGAACTGGATTGAGTCAATGACACTGACTGAATATCAGTTGTTACTCAAAAGCAAAGAAAATTGTACTTTCAAACTCACAAGTTTGTCAATAACCAAGGACAAGTAGCAAAGAAAGTCGAGCAATCATTGCTTCAAGCAAGAGGGGAATCAAATCATTTATTCTTGGTAAAAATTGTGAAGTAAAGAAAGCAAGAAAATATAAATTCTTTAAGGGACAAATCACGAGTGAGAAAACAAGAATAAGGATAGAATAGACAAACAGGTGCTTATATTGTTTCATTTATACATGTACAACTACATCACATAAGCAAGAAGAGAAAGCAAATCAAAAGTACATACCCAGTCTCCAACAACAAAAAGGCTCACTAAGACTGGATTTTGAAGGTCCCGTTTTATCCTTAAAGCATATATGTCCAGACATGCAAGCCCAGAGCTCCACAATACTTGAAGACCCATAGATGCAATCAAATAGCTGCAAGAATATGTCAGGCACTGTATAAAACATGCATAATCATTACAAGGAGATGTGTATACTGAACGGATCAGTTCTACACTATTTTAAGAGGTCCACTGGCTAATGGAGGGACGCTGAAAATTTTGGCATACATTGATGCAAAGAAAGACGTATTTTTTTTTAAAATAAGCAATTAATTACTGTACATTGTATATAAGAAGCAAGTAGCAACAGCGAAAAACAGATCAGAAGTTCAAATTAGTTAGAGATAAGAGGCGCCAATCTTTTCAGCAAAAGGCAAGGAAAGTGCATATTAGAAAGAAACAGAACACTTAACAGGCCAGGGAGCCTTTGTTCTTCAAGCATCTTGCCGAGTAGAGAATACAAAACATACAGCCGACTGTCATGGATTAACCAATGATCCATATAGATATTTTTTTATGACCTCCATATAGACATTATGTGTTGAGTCTGAGCAATGTAAATCAAGAGTTAGGGAGCAATCCTGGGTTACATATAAGGCGTCTTATCGAGTACTGCTCAAATGCTTGGGATATCCACATCTTCACCCTCCCCTTTTCACCAAAGTACATGGCCCCTCGGGAACATGCTTTCACATGTTTAACTTCAATGATGTAAAGAAGATGCCAAAGCTAAATAACCACACCTCTCTTTATCTAGCAGTTTTACATTAGATAGGTTCCGTCTTATCATGAAAAATAAAGGAAATTAGAATAGGTCCTCCAGATGAAACATGATATATTACACGTATGCAGAAAAGTCCGTAAGTTAGAAGTTAGACCACAAATTAGATGCTACAATTATTATATATTTGAATGTTCATTTAATTCTTTCTGTTTTAAGATTTCTTCTCTAAACAATGAATGCGACAATCCAAACTACTTCATGAAAAGTTGACTATTGTACAGTAATAAATAGTTCCAAACTTAACTTGCTCAGTCTTAAAACAGAAGTTCAAACGCAGATGGTGAACAAGGAAATGTTTTTTCTTATGACCGAGAAGTCAGTTTGCAGCAAACCTTTAGGTCCACCTGAAGCCTTCAAAACTCGGGGAATGAGAACTCCCTCCACCCTTTTCCACTTAAGCACCAAGCTTAGATTGTGCGGTGCAAGGCTCAAACATGTGACATAAGTTGCAAATCCTTCAACCTATGCGGAGCAAAAGACAAACAGCTAAAGTGTTACCCCGATTCCCCTTTTCCCTCTCTTTTCTTCTATAATTACTTTATGATAAGAGTAAAAGGTCCAAATTTCTCTTTGCTAATAATTGAAGTTAAGTTTATCCTTGCCATCAAAAATATGGATCAGATTGGTGTAGGCATTCCAAAACGTGGGCCTTATTTACAAGGAGAAATGATCAAATTTGTCCTTAAGACTATACAAAAGGGTCCAGATTGACCTTGAACTTTGTGATATGATCCGAATTTCATTTTTCTCAACCAAAGTCCCTCCCTCAACCTTCTAAATCAATCATTACCATAACAAATGATTCTCTCCACTCTCAGAAACACCAACTGAAAACCATCAGTACTCCACCAGCACTTCACCCCCACATACTCACAAAGAGCAAACAAAACATGGCTTGGGGGTTATTCCCTCTGTATATACGGCTTCAGCCCTGCCCTAGTGCTTTTAATATACCATTATTACTTTTCAAAAGAAAAAAGAGGCCATCACCCTCAACCACTATAATCCACCTTGACCTTCACGATACTGCAAATGATTTAGGAGTTGAATACTGTGTAGTAAGGTTTGTTTAAGCATTAGGAGGTCGATATAGAGCTCTATCATTGCACTTGATCATTGTTTAAGTTCCATTCGGGTTGGTTTAAGCTTGAGGGTGGTTAAATTGAGCTCGAGGGATAGATACCTATTCAAAGGAGGTTCTTAGTAATGAAGATGTTGTTGTCGCTGGAACAACTACCAGTATTATTCAAAGTTCAACGGCAAATTTGACCCTTTTCGTTTGTAAAAAAAAGATCACAAAGCCTCTCCCATGTTAGTCAATAAGTGCTAACTAAGCCTCTGCTTCTAATGGCAACAAGGATAGAATTGATCCTGCTATTAGGAGGGAAAATTTGGATCATTTTGCAAAGTTCAGAGGCAAGTTTCGATCTTTTCCATTCCTTAGTTATCATAGACATTGTTAAATTCATGAATTTATCTGATAATGAAGCACAAGTATAGAGTAAAGAAACACAGAACTTCATAATCAATGAGGGAAATTAGCTTGAGAACACAATAAAAAACCAATAAAGAGATAGGCATATATACCAGAAAGCAGTGTAATTAGAGAAACCAGAAGCAGAAACCATAATCCCAATTGATCCAGCTGCTAATAAGCATTGCCCCAATCTCAACAGCAACCCACTCACAGTTCCTGGACTTCCCACCAAATGCTTCATCCTTATATTATTCCTAACAAATTTCAGACCTTTAAGCTCCCCATAGAGCATTTTTCTCCAAGAAAACCAAAAATCCCATTTCAAGAACCTCAGATCCCTGTATTTCTCCCAAATTCAAGAACCCCATTTACCAGAGTGCTTGTGCATAGATCTTTACATCTATATGCACCCAATTGAACCCTTTAGCTAACAATGCAATTTTCTTGACGGGTTTTTATGGTTGCTTAGATGATGTATAAACCTCCGACAAGAATTGGACAGTAATGGCGAAGCTTTGTATGCTACTCATTTTGATAGTGG